TCTCAATTGCATTTTTCACTTCTGCTTTGTAAGCTACACGAAAGCCCGGCTTGTTTTCTAACAATAAGGGAGAGTGTGTGTATGCAAGATCCCTCTGGCGGCTCGTTCCTTAAGCGCCCTTCTATCGTATCATATAATCGATACGTGCTACACGAAAAGTGCATTCTACACCCCTTCCGTTGCCCACCTTGACTGGCACAGGAACTGGAGGACTAAACACTTTAAACGGTACGAGCTTTGGCGGAATGGTTGCCGTGAATAAAGGAGGTGGTGGCTCTATTAAGTGCCTCGCAGGAGTCATCTAAAGAAAAAAACAACATCAACTATTAACGTACACGTCTTGAGTAGAACATCTCGGAAACAGTTATTATTCCCATAAGTATCTCTCGCCCGGAAAATAACATAGATGTACATGTACATGTATATCTTTGCAGCAGTGACATACCATGGAGTCTTCTTCTTCACTCAGTGAAGGTAGCGCCTCAGTCACCACAGACAATCCTTGAAATGATGGCGGTGCCAACTTTTTAACATCTACATGAGATTGCATCTGCCACAAAACGATCAAAGGATAACTAACAAATAAATAAATCACCATGATACAAACATTCAAGTAAGGGGAAGAACAGTTTATCAACAAGTAACATGTGGTGAGATCTAGGAACAACTCCATCATCTGTCAAATTATTACCTCTCTGAGGAAGGGAATTTCATTTTGACCATAAAGAAGAACCACGTCAAGTGGTTTTACTTTTGCATGTGTCTTTTTCAGACAGTACAGAGTGAACGATCTCCCTGACATGGGCTGTTGAACTGAAAGTAATATTTATGGTCAGTAATATCTACATTCAGCCTATCCATGATGGGAAAACTTGACAGTAATTTAGTTACTCTGGATAGCCCAAATCCTTTACATATCACACAACAGAGAGTAAAAAAGCTGATAAACACTTGCTAGGCTGAGAGTGATAAGATTGAGAGAAAAAGGAGATAATTAAGGCTTAAAATAGATTTAAAACAAATTACACAATAACAATAAACTAAAAAAAAAGTAAACTTGTTTGAACTGGTTTGTGGCATGGGTGCTAAACACTATTTTTTTTGAATTGGGAAAGAAGGAGGTTTTTAATATTTGAAGATTTCAAAAAAATATTTCAAAAAATTGGAAATATCAGCAACACATTTGAGGCTATGAAGTGTCTAACCAAGGATAATCAAGTCCACAGGAAGCAACTCATCCATTGACTGCACTTCATCCTCTGTCATCTGAAAAAATAATTACAATTTATCAATGATTAATTTTTGATAAAATTGGCTAATTTGTCAAACAATAAATTTAATTTTGGATCTTGGGAAAGATAGGATTACAGCCACTTACCACACGTATAGATGATCCTTCATCATCTGACATTTTCATTGTATCTCCAACCTCTCTTTCTATTGGCTCTCTGTCTACCTCCTCAATGTCAGCTGAATGCTGTTCCCCAACTGCTGAGCCAACTGACTGTCTGTCCATCACCTCTATGTCTTGTGCATCAATGTCTATGGTCACTGGATGTAAACTGTACATGTGCGCAGCTTCCTGTTAAGATTCAGTTGACAATGAATAGCTTCTTTATGTTCAGTCTTTCCATTGAGTAAATAAACAAACATACACAAACGCTTTGTAGTTCTTTCATGAACTCACATTGCAGAGCAAAATATTATGCCAGGTTAACAACACACAGTGTATTAAAACACACCTGAGGGGTTACCCCATCCAACTCAGTGTCAGAATCAGCCTCATATTCAGCTGTAGGTACTGAGCATTTCAGACCATATTCCTCTAATTCTCTTACAAGCTCCACAGCAAGGACTGCAAAACCAGAGAAAACATCTTGGATATAATAGGAGTGTAGGTTACGCTCATGTCAAGACTTTAAAATGGGATTATCATAGCAGAATATGTTCTATATTGCACATATATGAAGGTGCCAAAGGGTTTACATTTGATGCATAATTAAGCTTAAAATTAATACTTGATGCATGAATTTTTCAAAAAGGCAGGGTAAGGTTAGATTTCAAATTTTCCCTTATATATTTGTGACACATGAAATACTGTTTAAAATAAATGTGACAGGTGAATTTTTTCTAAAATTTTTATGTAAAATGGAATCAGGGACCCCTCTTTCTCTCCTTCTTTTGGTATCCTCATGTATGTACATGTATAGTCATACAGTGCAACTACATGACTTGCGTGGAATTCAACTCTGTCAGGCTTCAGGTAATGAACTAAAGTAAAAGTTTACGTCAGCATTTTGTGGCATGCACATTTCAAATAAATCATATCTCCATCTCCATGGGCAACACAAGCCCAGATTTTGGTATCAATGCAAAACCTCTACAATTCCCAAATCATTTATTTGTTGTCCAACTACCCCCTTATGCATGCTTAGGGGTAAAACTCACATGTAAAGTGGTCATTCTAATCTCTTGAAATCTGTTGGTGCCTGCTTTGATAAGCACTTACCTTTTGCCCTCACAAACACTAAAGCTCTTTTGGGTTTGTACTTCAGCAACACATGGGCAACACATTTTCCTCCTTGTGTTACAGAGAATGGCATTGCCTGCAACAAATGATATATATTTTAACAATACAAAGCTAAATGAAGAATCAAATTAATTAATGAACAAGCTTTGATCACACTGCACATACACAAGTAAGTTATAAGGCATTTTCACTCTATAACAGCACAAAAGTTTCCTGATTACAGTGGAAAAGAGATTAAGTGTTTTTCATCCACTTTATATCAGAAAAATTTGAAAATGCATCAATGAGAGTGTAATGACTGATTACTTTCTTAACTGTTATAAAAACTTAATAAGCTTAACTGAAAGGATAAAACTGCATGATAGTATTTTTACCAATTGTAAAAGTGCTCCAGAGAAGGTCCATTATCTGTGGACAATTTTTCCAGATTAGAATGGTAAGGCTACTAGCAATTGTAAAAATTAAGTTTTGCTTTGAAATTTTTACCAGGGTAGAGTGGAAAAGGCCAACCTAACTAATTTACTTAATAAATAATTAAATAGGAAACAATTAAATAGTGTGAATACATATAAAGTAAACAGCAGCCCAAATGACACTAGCACTTAAAATCACTTCTCTCTAATTTGGTCCATTTTTGCATGCTCTGTTTGAAAATAACAAAGTCACTTCTGTATTCACTGTAACTCACTTGAAGTGGTTGGTATTTTGTTGATTTTTCTATTTCCGTACTGCAAACCAATGAGAACAATAGCTCAGGTATCATACATGATGTTATAATTTCTGTGATTCTTCACTGAACTGGTCAACTGAAAGAAGTTTCACATGGTTATCTAGATAGACTATGAGCAGTCCCCCCTTTATCAGTGAAGTCCATTGTGCAATTTGAACAAGGGACTATGGACTGAGTCCAAGAGTTTAAATTCTGTGTTGCGCTCATAGTGCAAAAATATTGTTGGCTATGGGCTGGAAATCTGTCAACAAGAAGTCATGCATGTCAATGCTTGTCAGCGTTTCAGATTAATCATGGCTGATGACCTGCAATTTGTTGACTAAAACCAGAGCAGACTGAGGCACTTGAAGCTCTTATCACTGGAAAAAAGGTTCTCACAATTTTGCTAACTGGCTTTGGAAAGAACCCCATCTGCTAGGTGTTTTGTTTCACAAAAATCTTGTCAATTGATTTCTTTTCACTAATTTTTTCCATATTCACTGAAAAGGAGGGAATACTTGTAGTCTAGGTTATCTAACACAGGATGAGCAACAAACATGAAATTACAATAAAAATGACATCACCGCATCCACCTAAGTATTTGGCATCCAAAGGAAATATTTTGATATTGCATAAATATGGATTTCTTATAACATAATTTGTCAAACAGTATACATGAAAACAACTATTCCAACCTTTTGGCAGTAACCACCTGAGTTGGTATGGCAACACTTGATGGACTAGACAGCTTTCTGAGTTTTACACATGGAGCACACAGGCTCAGCTTGGTAACATTTGATTTTCTCATGGACTTTCTCAGGGCTGCTGTAGAGTGAAATGATTCCACACCGTGTAAAAAATAGAAATAAAGAACCAAATATAATTTATGTAGAATTAAACATTGTACAGACAAAGAAATGAGGTTATTGTGAAGAACAACTCACTGTAGAAACCTTTCAGCTGTCATGTGACCAGCTTTTGGTGTTAACTTATTTTAAAAGTGATCCAACCAATGCAGATTGCGTTCAACTTTTAAAATCGTATACAAAGTATACAGTCCAAGTTTTAGTTTTATGTGAACTGCGCAGAATGATCATAGCAATAATGAACACTACTTCAGCCGGTGGAGCACTGCACTGGTATTGCAGAAGTTACAGGTTCAACTCCCGTACAGGCCTGAAATTTTCAGGCTTTAATTTCACTACTGCTTAAGGGGTGTTCATTACTACTAAGATCACTCTCGTATTCAATAATAATAGTAGTAATAACTGTTTTTTATTCCAGGCCGGTCCTTAACCAGAGTTAACCAGAGCATTTTGAAATTACCTGTATGAGCAGCTGTTGCTGTTCTGAGAAGTCGAGTCCCAGACCATGTTCTACCGTAAGAAGAACGAATTACCCTTAACCCGCAAGAACGAAGCACTACATCCGCCATCTTGGATCTATGTATAACCACAAGGGTTGATGGGAGATCTTCATCTTTCCCTACCCCACACCTAAGGGGATATGAATGTTTTTTCCTTCCAGGGAGGGGAAGGGATATTTTGGAGCGTTAAACTAAAATTTTGATAAAGACGACGAGGCTGAGCTCCATAAAAGCAATTGTACATCTGCTACGATTTAAAAAATAAACTAGCTTTCTGTTGTTACACAGTGGGCATTTCCAGAGTAAACTTTGATCGGCAAAGAAAATCAGCGACGTGCATACAATGTTTTTGGCAACGCAACGCATACAAACACGGTCGTCAATCAGTGACGTCGACAATAATCAGCGTGACCTCACAGCAGTGATTGCAAACATTTTACCGATCGAGTGACTTACTTGGAACTACTCGAGATCGAGAGCCTTGGAAAACTACTTTAGTGCTAATTTACAAACTGGATGTCATTTTAGTGTGAAAACAAGGGCCTTGTCGGCTGAATGATAAATTTGCACGGGGTATCTTCGTAGCCAAGGAGACAATTTGTGAGACACTTGTCTTCGCTAAAGATGGCCGAGAACGTACGGGTTGCTGTGAGGGTTCGACCATTTATATCCTTTTTATCGTATATATTGTAATGCAGGATTGTTGTCATAATCCGTCTACCTATGCTTCGGCAAATATTGGACTCCGATTCTAAATATATGTGTCTGCTTTTGTGATTTGTTGTTTGCAGTTCACCGATCAATCGAGATGTCTTCGTACTGTAGGGCATCTCTTATTAAGTAATTACCTAGAGGATAGCAGGTGGTAGACCGTTTCCAATAAATCGTCAATTGAGTTTTCTCTTTAGTGGAGAATATCATTGTCATACATTTCCTATTTCAGATTTATTTTATCTCAGTAAACAGCTGACTTAATAAAGTGCATTAGATATTGGGCTCACCTAAGCCCGAAAATTTGCATTCAAAACAGTCATCAATTGTGTAATTGCTTTTGAATGCTACTTTATAAAGAGTGACAGCTCACGAAGTCCAAACAACTCTAAATGAAAAAGTTTGTAGACTTGATAAACACGCAGAACTGTTAGTCAAACATGCATTTATGAATGGTTCTCAATTTAAACAATGTTCATGTAGATTACACTGTTGTTTAATTCATGTCTCATGAAGCAGCTTGTAAGAGACGGATCATGAAGCATTTTCATGGTCGTGAATGGCAATGCAAATAGCCACTCTAATTACCTAGAGGATTAGTTTAAGTTGTTCAGTCTCTAGAGTTGAGTTTTGTCTCAAGTCATTCTTTCATTTCATTTTTTTTTTTTTTTACTTTTTTTTTTATTTTTGATTTTTTTATCTGTCTACTTGACTGGTTTGTTTTGTTTTGTTTTCGTTTCCTTTTTTTTTTTTCACTCTGCTCTTTGTAGCAGTTTTTTTAGTCTTTCTTTTTCATTTGGCTTAGTTTGTTTAGTTTTGTACTGAAGGCTGCATGAAGAAGAAGGGGTGGAGAGGGGGGAGGGGAGAGGTGACAAACCAAAGCTGCAGCATGAACCCTTACTTCAGAAGGGTTGTGGATATTTTATGTGACACAACAGCACTATCCCCTTTCTAATTTTAACATGATTGAATTACACAAGTGTTGCACACATGAAGTCAGGTTAAATGTCCTTGACAGTTTGCACAATTCTCGCGAGAAAGCTCGCGCAGCTGTCTTAATTATCAAGATGCAGGGTAACAATACCTACATTGCAGATCCTGGAGCCCCAGGGGAGGAACCAAGAAAGTTTGCCTTTGATTTTAGTTACTGGTCACATGATGGGTTCAAAGAGCTTGATGACGGGTATCTTGCATCTGCTGAACCTCAATACGCAGATCAGGTGCTGCAATTGGCTCATTTGTTACTGTGATTTATCACAGCTTGTCAGTTGGCTCAATTAGTTTTGTCACAATAGAAACCAGGCCAGCTTTTTTTTTTTTTTTTTTTTAATTGAGACTTTAAAAATTTTTAGCCAAATCTTTTCATGCTGGTTTTTTACTATTACCATAGACAATATAATGCATGCAAATATTTCCATGTTTATAATCGCAATCATTTGTGATTACATTTTTTATGAATTTTTTTTATTCCTTGCATTTTGGTGTATTCTTACATGTATCTTATCCAATTGTTATCTAAAGAGGCTTTGTATCTGCTAAAGATAAGTAATCTATTAGTTCCCCCAACACTCTTGAGATTCCTGTTGGCCTGCACTGTATTAACAAGTGTGGTATCCTTTAATTTCGAAGAAGAAACACGTATTGCCAGTTTAAAAGTGATGGAATAATTGAACTATGCTTGGCTTCTTTTTTATGTTGATAGAATAAAGCAAAACTTCATTTACCTAGTAATTTTTATTTTGTGACAGTTTTGATTTTGTAAATGTGAGTTGTTATTTTACTTTATTTTGTTAATTGTGTGTTTTAATTACCATATAGAAACGTGTCTTTGATGACTTGGGACGAGGAGTCCTCGAAAATGCATGGAATGGATATAACTGCTCGCTGTTTGCATATGGTCAGACTGGGTCCGGGAAATCTTACTCCATGGTTGGCTATGGGCAGAATAAGGGTAAATATAGGAAAATGTTTGTGAAATGGTGATTAATTTAGCTTTTTTGATTTTTTCGTAGTGAGGTTATAGTTGTACATGAGTTATATGCTACATATGGCATAAACTTTGTCAAATTTTTGCTATATTGTACACAGGTATTGTCCCAATATTTTGTGAGACATTGTTCAGTGAAGTTGAACAAAAGAGGAGTGCAGGGTCAGAAACAGAATACCAGGTATTTTAAGTGACTTATGATTTACAACAATTTTATACATGGTGAATGTATCTGCAATCAACTTCCTCTTGTCAAATGGTTCTTGTCTGGTGATCCTGAGATACAGTTACCACTGAAATATTAGTTGAGAATCTTGACTTAAAAATTCTGTTTCCCAATCTTGGAAAGTTTGGAGAATCATTTAAATTAAAGAACCTCAAATTTCAGGAAACTGACAAGTAAGGCCTTGACAGTACCTTGAGGGTTTTTGAGTGTCAAGGACTGAGAATTAAGTTTTGAAAAATTTTTTACTGTCATGGTTTTTTTGCTTGTCATATCTTGGGGTTTTGTACATGGCTTACATTGCCATTTTTTGCATATACTGCACAAATTAGTTGCTCAATAAAGCTTTAATCAGTTAAGAGTGAGTAAGTCACACTGTATGAGTTAGATTCATGTGTCAGGAAGATTCACTGGAGCCATGCCATCAAGGGGAGGGTGTCGTGTGTCAGGAGGGTTCACTGGTGCCATGCCATAATAGGAGGAGGGGGGGGGGTGTGAAGTCTTTGATATTCTTTGGCTAACAACTTTAATTTTCTTGCTCTGCAATACCAGGTTATTGAAATTTACAATTTAGATTAAGTTTGAAAATTTCAATTCATTTTCCATTCCAGGTTACATTTAGCATGCTTGAAATCTACAATGAAGCGGTAAGTTACATCTACATCTTTTTTACATCCATTTTAAAATTACTGGTAATCCTAGCAATCTGATTGGTTCCCGTAGGTGTAACTTGTTCAGGAATTGCCCAACTTTTTGCTCTAAGTGATGCCTTGCCTAAAAAATGTACCAGCAGGGAGAGAAAATAAAGAATATTACAGAGAAATCTTAAAGGAACTTCACCTCATATGATATTACAAAGGGAAATCAATGCAGAAAGACATTTCTATCATAGTTTAACTACTAATTAAAACTACTTTGAAGAAATTTATTGACTGGTGTCACGCACATGCAGCAGACGCATTGACAATCTTTTAAGTGTGAAGTAGACCTACTTTCAGCTATCAAATCGAAGTAATTGTGCCCTAATGGCCATTCATGAGGTTTTAATACATCTTCGTCGTTTTATTTCGTCACATGCAGGTCCGTGATCTACTGAACCCAGCGGGTAACAAGAAAGGAGGACTAAAAGTGCGTCAGCACCCTTCCAAAGGCTTCTACGGTATTAATTACAATGGTCTCAGCAATTTTAATTAGACAAAGGTCTAACGTTAGTATGGTTATGTAATCTTGAATCTTCACTTAACTTGCCCTGGGTGCAAAAAATCTGGGGACATACTGAATTGCGTACGATGATGCATGTGTTAGCATGTTCGGTGAGTATTTTGCCCATATCCGCACATACTCCTAGCAAGAACATTTGACCTCATTTTGCCAACACTTTCACTACAGTACAGTATTAGTTTTTGTGCACCTTAAGCTCTTAACGTTTTGACTCATTCACGTCACCTCTGCAATGTCAATGTCTGTGACAATTCTTTAACATTCTCCCTTTTTGTTTCACTCAGTGGAGAGTTTAGTGAGTGTTCCAGTCAAGGATTACCCTGATATTGAAAGTCGAATTGAGGAGGGAACAAGGAACAGGACGGTGGCCGCTACTAATATGAATGCGACGAGCAGGTAAGTGAGAATCTGTCTTGAATACGAAAAAACGGTCTAAATTGGCAGCCCTTAAAATAGAAAACAGTGGATTCTGAGATTTTGACTCGTCTTACGTTATAAATCTGACGTTTCGAGCGTTAGCCTTTCGTCAGAGCGAATGGAAAAAAGCTAACGCTCTGACGAAGGGCTAACGCTTGAAACGTCAGGTTTGAAACTCTTTACGGTGGCCAATTTACGTTACCAACTCAGGTGATAATACTAAATTACCCTGTTATACTCTCCCACTGACACGGCATAACAGTTTCTTTAGAAAGTTACCCTCTATATTCGCTAAGTTATAAATATCTATCATTATTCTTTAGAAAATTGATAGCTTCCTTCTATTTCTATTAACTCGATAACCTATTGGAAGAGTAGTTGATGAGAAGAATTGAGAGGTACATTGTAGTCTTGCCAATGTGACTGAATGCACCCAGACCTTTCTCACTTGAATTGTATTCATTTGTTCTTGAATAAACAATAGAGCCGGATAATTTAAGGATAGTTAATGCGTTTTTTCCATTATCTCTTCAGTAAATACGGTTTTTTTAATGTAATTTTATCTGGTAGCCGTGCCCACACAATCGTCGCCATAAGCTTTAGTCAAAAGGGGGCAAACGCAGCCGGACAAATGATGACTAAAACGTCCATTGTGAACCTGGTGGACCTCGCTGGAAGGTTAGCTTTATGATTCCCTTCAGAGTAATTTTCCGTTGGGTGTCGAAAGTAATATGGGATTGCTTAGTCTTTGTTCATTTTCGCTCTCTGATTGGTTAAAAAATTAGCGCGACTCTCTCTCAACCAATCAGATGCAAAATTAAAACCAATCACGAATTGGTTGCCCGCGTTTTCCCGCGCTTTATATGGTTTGGTTGGTTTTACTTTGAGTTCTCATTGGCTATTTAGGGTACTTTCCTTTCGTCTAATTGGTCGTTGTGATTTCTTTGGTTTGGGATTTAAGACACTCAATCGAAAAGCGCTTTATACGTTAACTAGAATGGTTTTAGTAGCTTTGTTGCGAGGTACAGACTTAGAATTAAGACGTTTACGTCGATTTTTAGCTTACGAAGTTGGGCAAGTGGAAGGCTACGGGAGATTTCACAATGTGTCTGGGTTATACTGCGACATTAGAGAACTAGAGGAGGGTAATAACGAGGCAATTTGCATAGCAGCGCCTCACTGGTTATGATTAGTGATTGTCAGTAAAGTTTGGAAGACCAGTTTACCGTTGCCTCTCCCTTCTGCAACAATCATACAGAAATTTTGATCCGACGAAGGGCTAACGTTTGAAGCGGCGGCTTGGCAACTCTTTAGGGTGTCCAATTAACGTTATCAGCTCAGTTGATAATACTAAATTACCCTGTTATACTCTCGCCACCACTTACCCCCTTTATTCATTCGTACCAGTGTAGCATCTTTTCATTTTTAGCGAGAGAGCAGATTCCACCGGAGCTACTGGGGACAGGTTAAAAGAGGGATCTGCCATTAACAAATCCCTTTCCACATTGGGCAACTGTATTAAAGGTAAGTGTCTACACATTTGTATAATCTTGTATCTCTTTTTTTGACACCTGTATCGTGCACGATTTTAGCTTGATCTTCTCTATACTTCACTCGGCAATTTCTCGATCCTTCTACAGATGGCAAGTGCGTTTTTTTTTTTTAATTTATTTACCGTAATGTCTTTTGTATCAGTATCTAAAACGTATTGTACGTTGATCTTTAGCGCTGGCGGATCAAGCATCTGGGAAAAAAGGCGCGCAAGGTGAGTCGCTCAAATGACCAACGAAAGACGTAAAACCAGAGGATAATATACAGTTGAACAAACACCTCAATTTAAATAAATCACTTATGGTTGTTTTTTATATTGTTACAGTTCATTTTCGCACTTTGTTTGATGACATGTATTCAACTTTTTACGCTAACCCTTAAGCAGTGAAGTAAACTAAGATTGTGATGTTGTTTTTGTCTGTGCCTTTCTTTGCTTTTCAAAAAGCCAGCCCCAATTTAAGCCAAACTGACATTTATTCTTAAACCCCCTGACCCTTACGAGTGACTTGCATTTAATGTCTTTTTTTTTACAATATCACCCCTGAATTACACTTTAAGGTCACAAGAATCAAGGAAATGATCACAAACTAAGAATATCTTGATTGTTCAACAGATTCTCCCAGTCATTACCTTAGAAAATGTATATGAGAACAGTATGGAGAATATGCATACTGATGTTAGAGTGTAAAGGGTTGACCAACCGATGACTGACTTTTCCTACTTTTTTAGTTCCATTCCGTGATTCTGTGCTTACCAAGCTGCTTAAAAATGCCTTGGGAGGCAACAGCAAGACAATCATGGTATGTTGAAAATACCCATATCTACAAGACAAGATACAAAAAAATTTTATCACATAAACTGCGGTATCATACAGAGATTTCCGGCTCTGAGAAAAGTCGTAACAACACACGTAAAAAAAATCGTATTTTCTCACGTGTGTTGATATAACCAATCAGCTGCTGACACGTCACTCGCCTCTCGCGCCACTCGGTCAGGCTGATGAATGAACGGCAAAGCCTTCACGATTCTCAGTACAAGTTTTTGTCGGAAGTTTCTTGAATTATGGCGGCTAAAGTACTAAAAAGTCCGTATCGCTGACAGACGGTGAGGTTCAAACTTTCCTAGAAGGGGAAGAAAACCAATATTCTAAAAGGAAAACCGAAAGTTACTTATTCAGTGGCTTTGGTGTTAGAATTTCTCTCGGCTGAGAATGAAAATCGACAACTGGTGGATTTGCCACTGGCCGATTTTGGCCGTTTACCTGAAAGACTTCTTCTATCGGTAAGGATAATAAATGAGAGTTTTGTAAACAGAAAATTACGACAATTGTTGTTTTTATAATCATGATCCAATGCATTTTTCTATCTTAAGAGCCAATGCACTCTACGGTTGTTATTCGGAGATTGTCGATTCATTTGTTTTCATTCATTAATGAAGTCGGCTTTTCTTCTCTGTAAGAGCTGTTGTGTTTATATGATAAACAAAATAATACATGGTTGCTTTTAGATATGGAATTTCTCTTCTCGTGTTCAACTCGACATCTCACTCGTGAGCTATCGAGTTAAATACTCGGAGAGAAATTCCATATCTACGCGCGCCAATGTATCATCCTCTATATAATAAGTGCAAATGCCTCTCTGTGGGATATCTGCTTCTTGATATATTTTGTTTTGTTTCGTCTTTGTTGTCGCTTTCTTCGCTTTCGTCGTTCTTGAATGACTTATTTCTTTCAATATTTTAACTTTAATGTCAATTGTTCAAAGTTAGCATTGTTTTTGCCGTCGTCATTATAACCAAAAGAGGAAAAAAATGATCAGAATCAAGATACGAAGAGGAGAGAATGAGGGGACAGAGAGGGGAATTTGGGATGTTGCCTGGGGTATATGTCGCCTCCAAGGAAGTTATTTCTGGGTGTCTAAGGGAGTGGAAGTCTGTTTCCTCAGACATCCACTCTACGAATTTTAACCTTTTATCTTTCGAGTCAGTTTTCATGGGAAATCTTTAGGTGGTCCGACGTTATGAGTGTTCTTTCACTCAAGTGCAGGAATCGATAGTAGCCTTAATGCGGACAACTCAGAAAGCTGACATCCGTTTGATAAACTGATATATCCCTTGGCCTGGAATTGGAGCCTCTTACTCTGTCCCTCGTTTTCTCTTGACAGAATCCAGGATCAGGATGACAAAGATAATGATAATAAGTATGAGGAAAAGGATAATATTATTTCCCGATATTTACAATTTTTATGTGTACAGATTGCAGCTTTGAGTCCGGCCGATATAAACTATGAAGAAACGTTGTCTACTCTACGATTCGGTGAGCTGTTGTTCTTTGTGTCTTCTTATCGTTCTCCTTCCTTTTCCTATTAAACACATTGAAATCGGAACGATATTTTGGTGAAGTAAATTGGCCATCGTAAACAGTTTCTAAAGAAGACATTTCGACCGTTAGCTCGTTAGTTATTCGCTCTGACGAAGGGCTAACGCTCGAAACGTCAGCTCGAGAAACTCTTTGCGGAGGCTAATATATATCATCGACTCAATTACTGAAACGAGATTACCTTGTAATACCCTCTACTGACCCAGCACCACAATGTGTTTAGAAATTTACTCTCCTTAATTATTTCGTGTCCTTCACTCAGTCAAGTTTTTTTTTAAGAGATCTAAAAATATATTTGTGCCATCTCGTGCTCTTAGAGTGAAAAAACCTTTGAGTTTAGATCAACTCGTGTCTTGGACACGTTAGGATCACTTAATTTTTTGCCACATTATTGATCAACAATCCTAAGCCCTTCAAATGTTTCGCTGGAAAAATCCAGGCCTTTCAAAGCTATTCAGCCTTTTTTTTCCTTGGTGCTTCTTATCTTTCTGTGCATGGTACCCAAATTTTGCAATATTGTTTTGGTTGAATTTTCCCTTCCACAAGTTTAACACTATTAGAAGTTTGTAATTTTGTGGAAGCTAACGAATTAAAGACGCTTTTGTCGCCGTAGAAGTCAAACTGATAACTCAACATTTTCTCTTTTAGCCGACCGTGCCAAGGCCATTAAAACTAAAGCTGTTATTAATGAAAGTCCAACTGAAAAACTGATCCGTGAATTGCGTGAAGAAAACCAGAGACTAATGGAACAGCTAAAGCAAGGTGGCGGGGCAATGGTAGTCCAAGGAGAACCTGGCCAACCACAGACGGTTGGAGTTTCTGAAGAAGGTTTTATAACTTGTTTTTCTGTGAATTTGAAGCCTTTTATGTACACTCGATAGCAACAACGTTGTTACCTAAAAAAAAGCTAGCCATGAACGACGAGACCCACCGCCTTTATTGGTACATAAGTACAGAATAAGCACAATTAGTTGCACGTGGTAAATGAGAAAAGCTTTTCACGCTTTCATGAAAGAAGAGAATTGTCATAACAAAGACTTGCATGAATGATGGAAAAAATAAAGCTGATTATGTTACTGCGCGAACATTTCCCATAACGCCCTTGGGTTTTATCTTTCATGGATCAGGTTTTGTCGGTGTCGACGTTTTTACAATTATGCGTGTCATAACATGTTTAAAGTACTACTTCTTTTGAATTAGCCAAATTAGACAGTTTTGGTGTAAATTTGAATCGCGCGCTGTAAATGTGTATTCTGTACTAAATAAAAAAACTAACATTGATTGAGTTTAATTTTGATTTTCAGAGGTGAATGAAATGAAAAAACAAATGGAAGAGCAGGTATGAGAACCTCTTTCAGGTGTTTGTTAAAGGAGAATTAGGATGCTCATAATTTTATTGTCATAAATTCTGAACATGTAGCTACTGCTTCTTGATCTCTTTAATAAAATAGAGATGACGAAAGAATCTGATAATAATTATTAATAAGCAAACAAATGGACTAACTTACTTTCAAGTTAAGTTTAACGATCAAGTAGAACATAATAGTGACACCAATGTTGAGCCTTCAGCTTCAGATAACGATACAATGCACCCCTAAATATAGGGCATCTCGTATTAAAAGAGGGTAAGTTTCTAAAGAAAATCTGGTGGTGCGTCGGTGGGAGAGTATAACAGGGTATTTTAGTCTTATCAACTGAGTTGATTACGTAAATTGGCCACCGTAAAGAATTTAAAAACTGACGTTTCGAGCGTTAGCCCCTTCGTCGCTCTGACCCCACCCCCTCCACCCCTGGGTGATGAATAGTGACTGATCCACAAAATAAGAACTAGCACACCGTACCTTTGAGTGAGAATTATTTTGTTTACGTAAATGTTGCAGCTCTTACAAAATCAGCGGGAGATGGAGGAGATGAAAAAGTCTTGGCAAGAAAGATTGGCTGAGCAGGAATCAGCAAATAAGGTGAGGCTAAAACGCTTCCCCTAGCTTCCTTCCCCTTGTGCGATGAGATGCCTTGATGCCCTTTGTGTACTGTACATCCATTTAAGTCCTTGTGTTTCAGCCAAAAAGTCTGAAATGCCTGGCGTGAAGTTCGCTTTGAGTGATACGTACACCTCTTTACGCCTGCTTCGCAGTCTAAACTGCCTGGCATGAAGTTCGCTTGGAGTGACACGTGCAGCTCTTTACGCCTGCTTCACAGGCCATACGTTTGATTTTTGATTTGATTGTGGGCTCAAAATACTGTACATTTTATGGCATTCTTCAAGAAAGTCCACTGATAATTTGTTCATTAAACGTGTTATAACTGTATCTCTAAAATGAGCTATGTTAATTAGTATGCAATTAGTGCCACAATTATTTTTGCTGCTTGTTTGATCTTAGAAAAAAACACTCCTTGATGATTTTAGGTCTCTAGGTCTTTTTTACTCGTTATTCATCTTAAAGGAAACCGTATTGGGTGGATATTCTTTAACAGGCTTTGGGTTTATTTCGTTGTTTTGGGACTTTCTTTTCACCAGGCTAACGGTACCTAAGTGGTGTTACATTATTTTTTAGGCCAAAGAGGAAAAAGAAAAGAAAGAAAAAGAGCTTCGTAAAACCACTCCGCACCTTTGGAATCTTAATGAGGACTCGCAGCTTTCAGGAAAAATTTTCCATTTTATCAAACCAGGTAAGTTTCTTTACGAGTTAGCCAGCATTTAATCTCATATCTTAAAGAAAAGTAAGCTCACTTTGTGTCTTGCGCAAAATTACAAAGTACAATTTTTCAACAGTTACTGCCATTGCTCGATTATTGGTTTCTTTTCATTTTTCAACATTTTGACCCCTAAGAGTGACTAACATCCAATTTCCCCTTACAATGTCACCCCTGAAGTACACATGAAGGTCACAAGAACAAAGGAAATGATGTAAACTCTCCTCGTGAGCAACGTAGGAAATGTGTCGAGAACAGTAAGGAGAATATACGTACTGATGTGGTGTAAATCCTGCTTTGTTGGCTCTATATGAAGATATTGCCCAAATCTAATGAAACCCGTGGCCAACATTGGCTTATGGTTCGTTTTACTTTTCATCGCAGGCGAGCAGAAAATTGGAAACAAAAGAGCTGATCCCCAACCGGATATTTTATTAAGCGGTTTGAGGTAAGACGCAGAAAATAACAAAGATCGCGCGCCTTTCTTTTAGTTGTCGTGACGTGAGGCTCGTTTATGACAAGTAGATGACACAGAATTGTCACCAAGAAGTCCAAAAGGAGTTAACTCCGCGCAAATTTTTTTCTCTCTTACTTATTCCACGATTTTAACGAACGGCTTCGTTTTCTGGCTGGTGATCCACTTATGATATATCTACAGACTCATAGGTAGAATCCTGCTTATGAGGTCACGAGGAAATATCATACACGCTGAATCTTTTCTTCGTAGTTGAAATAAAATAGTCACACATGTTTATTTTAAAAATCAATTCCGATGTCGATGTTGTTCCCTTTTAAAGCTTTAGTATCGATTTCACTTGTAGGAAAGTAGACAAAATATGACGAACGTGTCAGTGAAGAGTGAAAAGTGAAAATGTTGTAAGTTGGTGCGAAGGAAATGACATATTGCATACACTTAATTCAACATTTCCCTCCAGACTCTTCTGCTCTTAGCGAGAATCAGAATGTTAAGGTTGTTAGTTGATAATATCGAAAGTGAGCCTTAGTCGTCTCCGCAGTTATTGCTAAGAAACAGCTTTCCACTTTGTTTGTCCATAGCATTCTTAAAGAGCACGCCAATTTGACATATAAAGGAAACACAATAACAATACTGGCCAATCCCGATGCTAAACTGATGGTTAATGGTAAACCAACGCACGACGAGATAGAACTTCACCACAATGACAGGTAGAGCTATGGTTGAACTGTTCCGCACATGTCGCGCTATTCTAAAGAATTTATTTTTCACTTTTGAACCACGGTGGAATGCCATATCTCGCGAAGAATTCGTATCTTCAATCTTGTTCTTTCTCAAGATATTTTCAGTCTTATTTTGATTTCTATTCAGTGTCAACGTGTTTGTTTATTCGTCTGCTGGTTTTTCATTTGTCTGTCCCTCCTTCTCGACTTGCCCTTTTTCCGTCACAAGCCGTTCAGTCAGTTAGCAATTCATACTTGTAGGTCACATTTTGGGTCTGTTTCCGTGTTTTCTTTGTTTGTTTGTATTGTCGTTGTCAGTCAGTCAATCAGACACACAGTCCATAAATTCATTCGTCAAATTGTTAAGCCCTCTGTCTGTCTATTTTTTTGTTTGTTTTCGCAATATTGTTGGTTTGCTTGCTTGCTATTCACTTGGTTTGTAAAATTTTAGTGACCTTGTATTAATAAACTGATATTAAATCGACGAATGTTCAACAGCAATTTAAAAAATTTAAGCACAATCGTGGTGAAAGTAGAATTAACTTGACAGAATGCCCTTATTATAACAAAAATTATATTCTGGACGACTTGGGACTAGCTTAGCTGTGAAATTCAAGGTGTTCTAGAGGTTTATGTGTTCTTTTAGAGTGATGTTTGGCTCTGCAAGTTTGTTCGTACTGCATCACCCAGTTGAATTTGAGAAGAAAAAGAACGCGGGAGACACGATAGAAGAAGTAACTTACGATTTGGCACAGGAAGAAATAGCTGCGAATTCTGGATTTAATATGGGGAAGAACAGTGGCCAGACCAAGAGTATGTCGTCAATTTAGTCACTTATGCTTGGTTTCCCTTTAGAGAAATTTAAATTCAGGATTGCTTTAATTGTGCTTAACTTTGCTCTTTGATCGGTCCAGAAAACTCATGCCATCCTCTCAATCAATCAAATGCAAAATAAAAACAATTACGACTGATCGCCCGCGTTTTCCCGCGCTTTAGGCAGTTTGCTTGTGTTCAATTTGACATCTCCTTTTCCAATTAAAATGTAAACCTTTCCCTTGATTAGTTGTTGGAATTACTTTGGATTTACTTTTGTAACACTAACGGAAAACTGCTCTAATTGCCAGGATCGTCTCAATCTCCCAGATCTTCTCAAAAAATAAATTTAAAAACAACTGCAACCATTAAAGAATATGCAAACACTTCATAGGCAAGTCACTCTCTAAAGACCTGGGTGATTGGAACGGTTACGGCCAGCGAGATAGATCTCTGTTTCCTCCCTCTCTTTCTCTCTTTCATGGAGGATGATCACATTACATTCCTTTGAAGATTTGAAGTAGCTGCCATTATAGTCTAGTCGTCTCTAAAAGTCAGGAATTATTTGATAACTTTCGGGCTTAAGAGCTTATTCACAGACGTATGATCAAGTGTGGAGTTCTAAGATCCCAAAAGGGAACTCGAAAAGATCAAGCTAAATATTTCAAGACACCGTGAGTAGCTGCTTGAAGGTTTTCTTGAAATCTGAACAATGTCAGCATAAAAGCCTTTCTTTAATATCGTTTTGAGACAGAAAGATTATGTTTGTTTCTTCGAAATCGTAGTCTAATATGAGCTGATGGTTTTTGCAGATGAACTGCTGTTGCAGGAAGACCTGGTACAGATGGTTCCTATGGTTAACGAGTCCAATGCAATGGCAGAAGAACTGAAGAAACCGGTAATATTTATTATTAAAATTGTTGAATAAATAATCGCGTAAGTAACAAAAAATTTGCACGTGTTATTTCTCAGTCGTCTGATCATCTCAATCTTGCTGGTAACAAGAATTCGGGGAAAAGAAAAGATGACTGGAAGAGAGGTCCCACAAATTTCCCGTCGTCAGAGCCGTTTTAAAGAAGATGAACATGTTTCCTAGATGACGAATATGTAACATTGCAACAAGGCAAATTGTAACTCACAAAGAGTACGCTTAAAATAATTGACTGGAATCAAACTCATGACTTAAGAATGCCTTGTGTTTTTCAAGTCTTTGATGGATATAAAGAATAGCCAGCCCTCTTGCAAGTCCTCTTGATTCTTAGTTAAACAAAAATGTAAATGCAGGATACGAACAAAGATTGGTTGTTGTTGTTGTTAGTGACTTGTGTACTGATGTGGCATCCCAAACACCATACGTGCTTCAGAAGGCAATCTTCATTATCTTTAAGTACTTTTAATCATCATTTCTTGCAGGTTAGGTTTGAAATTCTCTTAGTTTCACCCCAAGCACGTGGTCTCAAGGAAGGAAGAACAGAGGTAAGGCACCAGTCACTATTTATTTTTTTATCGCTGGGGAGGGGGGGCTCTGTAATATTCCTATTACTCCTCCCCCCTTTATCTGCAGTTGATTGACAGTCAATTTCCTTCAATCCCTCCTTTGTCCTCTGTTGGTGATGTCAGTTGCCCGCACCTTTACTTGAAAGGCAACGAAGACTATAATCGTTGGGAAAAAATAATCCTTTTGGCAAAAAAAAAAAAAAAAAAAAAAAGAAAGAAACAGCCATGGTTCAAGTTGCTGTTATTATCAAAATTTCAGGTCATACACTTTCAATCATTGTGGCTTTGAGGATTTTCCCAGCATTTAACCCTTTCGCTCCCAGATCTCATAAGTAATTCTCCTTATTGTCTACTGTACAGTTCCTATGATGTTAGTCCAGTGAATTTGGTATTGGATCATCTAAAAATTGCCCAAAAGATATTTCTCTTTATTATCACTTGTCTTCTTGACATCGTATTGAATTTGTAAAGAGAAACTCTGTCTTGGTCACTCTCGGGAATTAAAGGGTTGAGGGCATACCATACATCTCGAAGTAAGATCTACCTTAACAATATTTTTTAAGATTTCTAGACATAGGATGCGTTAACCAAACATGTTTTCTTTGTTTGATTCTTCACTTCACTTCCCTTTACTTTTTTCGTACTATTGTTTTATTAAAAGAAATAAGCAAAACAATAGGAAATCTCCAAACGAAGAGAAAACAAACAAGAAAAGCAAAATAGAAACAATTTTTGAATTTGGAGAGTCAGTCTTTAGAACTTCAAAGTTTACTAACACTTTTTTTCATCATAACTTAACTGGACCTTGATGTCGCCCTTTCGCAGGTCAAAGTGAAAATGAAAAGCACAGTAGATGATGCGGAATGGATTTGGGACAGAAACAAGTTCGTCAACAGAACGTACCTAATGAAAGAAATGTTCCAGAATTATTACGATGGAGAAGAAGACTGGGATTTGCCGGAGGTCTGTGCGTCTTCAATTGTTTCTTCTCCTCTACTCGAGAACTAAAAGAAAGTTTATTGAGTGACTACAACAACAAAAACATTTTTTTCATCATTCCAATGAATTTATGAAATGAATGAAACACCAACAAAATCTAGGCAATGAGTATAGAGTAAGTGGTAGGTCGAATGGCAGTTAAGAAATAGAAAAAAACGCCATTACACAGTATATATTAGAACATTTTATGGCTAGTTTGATATCCTTTCGACGCTTACAACTCGACTGGGAGCGTAATGACTCGGTTTTAATTCTATACGTTAGTACCATCGAAAAATTCGTCTTTAAGTGTTTTTCATAGTTTATAACACCTCTTTATCGACTTTAGGGCCCAGTTGTTCGAGGATCGATCAGCGGTAGCGCAAGGTTAAATTTTGATAATGGTTTCTTTCTTCCCTTGGTTCAAAAGCCCTTTCGGGATTATTTCCTCAATTCTTTTAAGAGCATCTAATCATTTAATTGTCGGCAGAAAGAATTATACTGAATTTTCTTTTAAGGCTTCCAGATCTGAAATCAGATTTCACACTAACCCTGGGTTAACTTGACTTTGAACAACCCAGGCCTGTTGTGTTCAGTAAGTTTTTGTCTTTAATGAACCATTGACGTACAAAACTGTTACTTATATATATTTTAACATTATTGTATGAAGGAAAGTGATCCATTTTGGGAGCCTGATGATGCAGAGGTGTTTATTGGCTCAGTCCAGGTGTATCTTCAAAGTTTAGCCTATCTGGTGAGATTTTATAATTGACCATGTCGTAATAAGCAGTAAATAGAAAGACAGACATGATAGCTTTACCGAAGGGCAGATGAACGTACGGACAGACCAGTACACTGATAAACTGACCCGACCAGAGTACCATACTGAGGAATATTGGCTCGAGGTCGTGGCAGTCGGAACCGAGCGCTACAAGGTTCGAACCAAAACGACCGAGGGGCTAATGTTTCCCAGTATGGTTCAAGCAACGAGGTTAGTGAGCAGTTTATTATATGGTGCTCGAACTAATTTTTTTTTAATTTGAATTTGCCGGCTTTCGCGAACAAAAAGTTTATTTACATTTGGCGGAACTAAGCTGTAAGAGACAGTGACAGACTATTAGCATGAACACGCTCGCACTCTTATGACGCCAGTGTTTCAGTTCAAGCCGCACACCCATACATTTGTCATTTCTTAGTTGTGGATAGAATTAAAGAATATACGGCGTATGACCGTGTCCGTGAAAACGGTCCATATGGCAAAATCCCGTCCAAGGAAGACCCAATCAGAACGCTCGGTTTTACTCAAGGCTACTTTGCCATATGATAAGTACATGCATACATAGAGGTATAGAAAAAAAACCATTTCATAAAAAGTTTCCCTAAGATATAGCGAATCATTTGCAACGCAGATTGAAGTGGAAGAGAGCCTTACGATAACAGACCCCAAAGGCAACGAAAAGGGGCAGCTTCAGGTTTGTAATGAACTTAGATCACTTTGAATATTTTCCTTTGGTTGTTTTCATATTGTAGTGTTAGTGAATTTCAAAGAATGGTATTGAAACCATATGACGTCCTTCCGAAATGCAAACAAAAGAAACGAAGGGGAAATATCGAAACATACAGACACGCAGAAGCGGAGAAATTATCTGAAATAGAAAAGAAAAAAAATGTAGAATGTAGTGATAATAATTAAAATAATAATAATAATAATAATTTAGCAGTGGGAATTCCACGAGGGGTCTTTCTTGTCCACTGTTTCCAGGTCGAATTTAAAGTTGGAAATGTTAGTTTCGAATGGAGGAAAACCAGAGAAAAATCCTCAGAGCCAACCCGAGAACCAACAACAAACTCGACCCTCGTGTGACGCCACGTCCGGGCATCGAACTTAGGCCACAGTGGTGGGAGACAAGTGCGCTCGCCACTGCGCCATCCCCGCTACTCTTATCTTAAGAAAAATAATGTTCATCGGTTGCAAAGATCTATGCAACCTAAGCAAACGATATTAATTATCGAGTTCACGTCCTCTCGATTTTCGCTCTCAGAAACATTGACGCTGAAACAAAACTCCTCCACTTACACTGAAGAAATTCTTGTTTTGGCGGCAGGTTGAAGCGTATCCTTGTGATGGGAACTTCTCAGAAGATTTAGACGATTTTGTGGAGGATCCCAAGGAGCTGGTATATGTTCAATTTCTCGTACCTTCTTTATTGTCTCTTCTTTTTCTTCCTTTTATATTTGTTTTCTTTCTTTTCTTTCGCATTTTGTTAATGTTCTGTTCTATTTTTGCCAGTGTAGTTTTTGTGGCTACTGCCTCCTATAGGAGTTTCACGGTGCTACTTGATGTTTGTTTCAAAAATGCTTAAGAAGACAGTAAACATCTTACAATCATTTCAGGATTATGTTCAGTAGATCCAAAGATATCCTTTTCAGTTCTTGCCTTGACACTACAAAAAAAGATAAATATCTCAAATAATTTCACAGTGGCTTCTCCGACAACTAATTTAAAACAACACCTCGTTGCAGAGATATCGAAATAGGTATGACCCACACATCGTGGAAACTTTGAAGAAAAATTTTATTTATTTGAAGAGAGTATTTTACCATTTCAATCAGCGACTACTGCCCCCAATTTGCAAAACGAGGAAGGTCCGAAGCTCTATGCCTTGAGTTTAACTGGGTGACCTTATTTGACGGAATGATTGAATGGTGAATTGGCGGAATTGCTGAATATCCTACAACGCGGAATGCCTTGTTGTATGAAATGAAAGTCTCACAAAAATGGAATTGCCACATAAAAAATAGTAACTTATCATTAAAGGAAAAAGTTAAAAAAGCATAGTTTAATCATTATTGGAGCCTAGAGGATAGACTGGTAGAGGAACAGTGAGGTTCTTGAGTTAGCTCGTGACTTAGCATGACAATTTTTTTTATATTAATTTACAGATCTTTTCTTTTTTTTTCCCTTTAGATTGGAAGAGGTCTCTACTTCAAACTAAAAATTCCGCACGCAAGGGGCTTGCCAGCTATATTTGGGAAGGTAAAGATGCTCCTATTCGTAACATGATGAGGGGAATTAGTGAGATTTCAATCACGCCATGACACTACCCACTGTCCATTTACTGAATATTTTATGTGGCGTCCTCTTTTGTTTAAAAAAAACAAACAAACAAACATAAATAATTCATTGGTAAATATTATTTGATCCGCAGGGAGAAACATGGTGTAAATACAAACTTTATCTTGATAAAGAGCACAGCCGCACAAAGACTGTCTCTGGAACAATGAACCCTTCTTACAGCCACGAGAGGAAATTTACCTTTAATCCTGTCACAAAACAGGTATGTTGTGCCGTTTTGTGCTTCTTTATAAGCTTTTCTCGTTAATAAATTTTTTTTTATGTTTTTTGCCTTTCCCAGCCCAGTATAAAGAGAACACTTTCAAAATTCAATTTGTCGTTTTTTTGTCTCGGGACAGTTTCAAAAGAAGCGGACGAGCTGAGAGGGTCTCAATGAGATGACCGTTTGCCGTTTGATGGCTTAAATTTTAACTGTTAGCCGTAAAAGCCATCACTCCATACAGACCCTCAGATTAGATCACGTTCACCCATTTTGCCGCTGGTTTTAAGCAGTGACACCGTGGTTTGGCAAACCACAATTAATCCCAGGCCCGGACTTTCCGAGCGATTTTCCGTGGAAGAAAATCTCACTCCCTTGTATTATCACTTGTAGTTCGTGGACTATCTGCTGAACACTCCTCTCATGGTTGAGGTTTGGGGAAAGCAGAGTGGAAGAAAGATCAGCACTGTCCCAAACAGGAAAGTGTCAGTAGGACAGAAAAATAGCGGAGTACAGAACGGCGAGGTTATGGTGAGAATACTGCAGAGATCTCCAGTATTTTTTTCTCTTTTCTTTTTGGTTCTTTCGTTATTCTTTCCTTCGTTCATTTGTTTGTTGCTTTCAAACCATTCATTCCGTTCCATTCTGTCAGGCATCAAGTTAATGTCAAGTTGAATCGCAATTTATGGCATCCTTAATCATACGCACGCAAAAAAAGGAAGGAAAAAAACGAAAAAGGGACCACAATGATTAGCTACTCAAACTCCGAATGTCCTTTTTTTATTAGATTTTTAATACGAATATTGCATTTCTAGTGTTCTGATTGGTTCACTCAACTCTGGCTATCAGCTCAAATTTCGAGCCACCTTATATGGAAATGCATTGCGGAGCTAAAAAAGCTCCAAAAATTCAAACGTTTAAGATTTAATAAAATTTGATAAAACAAGTATTCACCTCCGAGCAACTCGTGCGAGATTTAAGCCCGAAAATACTGTAATCGTGGCAGGCATTAATGAGTTAAAATCATCTTTTTGTGCTATGTTATCTCACTGTTTAGGTATGTGTGCTACCTCCACTTCAACGAACAGTTGTTAACCATCTACTCTTTTCATTCATTCCATTTATCCACTCATCCATTTACTTATTCATCTTTTTTTTCTTTCTGTGTGTTTCTTTCATTCATTCAATTGTGGTCTATCAATTTTAGTCACTGGAATTTTGATGGTTTCTATTCTTGCTTACATTTTTCAGCCGAAGGAAGAAGCCCAGAATATGAAACTAGAGTTGCACAAGTCGATGAGAAGAAACGAAAGATCTGAAAAGAAAATCGTAAGTAACCAAAACGGTTGTTCTTGGATGTGCATATTTATGTCTGGCCCACGATCATTATGTACACGAGTTGTTTTCACGCCTTGACCCCTAAGAGTGACAAGCATGTAATTTCTCCTTACAATGTTACCCCTAAATCATACTTTGAGGTTACGAGAATAAAGGGAATGGTCACCAGTTAAAGAAGTTAAATGTTAATTGTTTTGGTTTGACAAAGCAAACCGACGGTGGGCCATTTCTTTAATTTGGCGCTTCCCGCTACGTTTCCATAACAATTTCCGTGTTGCACCCTATAACCTCCATTGCACTCTCTAACCTGTGTAAGTGCATTCGACACTGGCCAATCCGAAACGCCATATTTTGTTGAGTATCTAATAAAGAAAGTTGCTGCATTTGATTGCGATCTACGTAGTCCTGTGAAGTATCACAGTGCCCTTAGAGTTGGATTTGAGTTCGTTATTTAGTACTGAGTATGCAAAAAAGAACCTGGCGAAATCTTAAATTGAAGCGTTCGATGTTTTTGTACTATCCGCTCTGATAGTATGGTATGTTTTTACATTATAATCAGTTTTCTATGAGTTTCCCTATTTAGAGATCGCAATACATTTGTGACAATAAAAGATTCATTTCAGTTCGCAGATTATGAAAGAAAAGCGACGAAAAGTGGTTGTTTCAGTATGCGAATAAAAATCTTAAGTGTCTTTTACTTATATTTGTTTTCATCTGTCTGTTAATTATCGACCAGCCACCTTTAATTTTTTTTTCCATTTTCTCTTACCACAGAAAAAGATGCGCGAATTAATAGAGGATGCTAAGAAGAAAGGTGTCTCTACAGTCGAGGTATGAATTTAACACCGGGTTCGATTCATGTTTGATCGGGAATATTCCACAAACTAAATTAGAAGTTGCATAGGGCTGCTTCATAATTTTGTTTCCTTTGGCATCTTATCGTGACCGTTATGTTTGCTGACATCAGCAGTGAAGTACTGCCTACTAAGATACTTACGTGGCAAACTCAATTTGCAACAAAGAATACAAATCAATCCATTCGCATAGGACGTCAAAATTCTTTTTTAGACGGTTTTGAGCGGTAGCCTCTAAACTTCCCATTCACAAACTAATAGCCTTCGTTGGCAAACGCAAGGCTTCGTGGGAAACAATAAGTAGTCACATGGATGATTTCGACATATTTAAGTCTATCATTTTCGTACTCATTGCGATACCCTTGCCAAAATGGGTTAGAAGTTTTCCTAAAAGCAATTAGACACAAAGATTTGTAATTTTGTCCCCGCCTCTCTTCGTACCCTTATTTGAGTGGGTAAAAGTTCATCCCTTACATGAATGAGATTTGTTTATTTTGACGCCAGGTCGCTGTGCTTGAGGAGATTTTGAACGGTGGCGAGGGTAACAAGTTTAAAGCAACCGCCGACATCGTTCTAAAAGCGCAGAAATCAATGGACAGTGATGGAAAGATCACAAGTTCGACTTGTTCGATCCAGTGAAAATTGAGTGAGATCAAAATTTATTAGCAACTATTTATGACCGTGTTTGTAGACTCTAGTGCACTTGCAGTTTTGATTTTTTTTCTTTCGTACGTTTTTAAATACAATTTTGTTAAACAATCCACCATAGTGGAAACGAAAAGTGCATTCAGCACTCTCCAGTTTACTAGCATTACTGTATTAGTGTATAGCAGGCAATCAGTATCATATTTACAGTTAGTGATGGACTTACTGTGATGTAATGCTTTAGCCTTTTTTAATAGTTAAAACGAACTTATTAGTCAAGACGTGGAAATAAGCCAAAAAGGAGCGTGAATGTTTAAGAATTTAACATACATGCGCCTTTTTCCTATTCTTCGTTTGTATATAAAATTGTCGTTTCCATTTTCATTCGTCATTTACCCATTTTCGTCTCATTATTTGTCATTATTGTCTGCAGCTCAGCATTCAGTATCTTTTGTAGAATTTCGACGTTAATTTATTCACTATTTTAAAGTATTTGACATTTTTTTCTTTAAAAAGAAAGCTACGCTAAGTTAAAAAGTTAAAGATAGTGATATGTAATCGCCACATAGTTTGTGTCTAGTGCTCAGTCCATTACGTGCAGGTTCGTGTAGTGTACTGCTGTTTATGATAGCACTTGGATCAAGGCAATTCATCAAAACAGTTTCAGAAGTAAACTACGAAATCCACTCGACGAACATAGCTAAATATGAAGTGTGCCAAAGCCAAATCATACTCTCAGATATTCGTACAATAATTTTTTCTTTCCTTTTTAATTCTCAGCTGTGTTCTCTTTATATCTTTCCTTCCACTGGATTGCAGAGAGCATTACTTACTGTTGACAATGTTTACCTTGCACGGTTATACTTCTAAGTATTTCACGGTTACACACACCACAGAATGAAAATTAAATGTTTCCCCTTCTCCTTGTTGCATGTTAATCCTGTTTCTACAAATTGCAAATTTGCAAAAGTAAAGGAGATATGCAATTTGTGGTGTTCCAAAACTCTCTCGTAAATGCACGCCATACAAGTACGTATAAGCATATGATTATGGTATATACTTGATGCGAGGTTCGCGTTGAAGGTTTGTCATCGAAATAAAGTATTGATGACAAATTCGCAATTGCAGTGTTTTGCGGAGGTTGTTGCGCTGAGAGATTTTCCGACCCAACCCTCTTAAACCCAAGATCTGATTGTAAATTCTCCCCTCTGGCCATTACACATTTCCTTATATTTTAGTTACGAGAATTTGATGCCAGAGTAAGTTTGATTCTCATTAACTGATGGCTGAATAATCTGAGGATATTATGGGGGTAAAGTCACTTATTAATCACTTCTGGGAGTTCATGAGTTAAATTTTTAGTGAAAGAAACAACTAGATGTTTTTAAAGAAGGCAATCATTGGATAAAACGACGCATTGAGCATTCTTGGCCGTAGTGCAAGATTGGTGGAAATATGATCTTCATCAGCGACCTTCGTGTATTTCAGTAAATAAATCTAGAACGGAGTCAAATTTCTAAATTTAACTAGCTTAGATGAAGAGAGTTTTCCAAACCAAAAACTTTTTTTTTTTGGTTCGGAATGCTTTCTCCTTCTTTGGTAATTATTGCTTCTTAACGAAAGAAAATTATACAAGGTGTGTGGCTAAAACAGACGAACAATCATGTACTTAAGTAAATAAATCTCCTTGAACAGAATTTAATTCCTATATTTAATCACCTTAGAAGTAGAGAGCTTTCTGAACCAGAAACATTCTTTTTTGGTTCGGCATGCTTTCTCTTTCTCTGGTAATTATTGCTTCTCGACGAAAGCAACTAAGACAAGGTGTATGGCTAAAACAGACGAACAATTATGTTCAGTTCACAATATTTAATGTCATACATGTAGCAATACTTGTTAATCACTTCTGGGAGTTCATGAGTTAAATGTTAGTGGAAGAAACAGAAATGAATGTTTTTAGAGAAGGCAGTCATTGGATAAAACAACGCGTCAAGCATTCGTGGCAGTGGTACAAGATTGGTGAAAATATGATCATCAACGACCTTCGTGTATTTCAGTAAATGAATCAACTGGAACGGAATTAAATTTCTAAATTTAATTACCTTAGAGGAAGAGAGCTTTCCAATCCAGAACCATTTTTGTGGTTCGGAAATCTCTCTTCTTCTTTGGTAATTATCGCTTGTCAATAAAAGAAACTAAGACAAGGTGTGTGACTAAAAGATGAACAATTATGTAATTCAGTAAATACATTTCCAAAAACGGAATTAAATTCCAATGTTTAATTACCTTAGAAGAAGAGAGCTTTCCAAACCAGAAACATTTCTTCCTAGTTCTGAAAACTCTCTCCTTCTTTGGTAATTATTGCTTCTCAACGAAAGTAACTAAGACAAGGTGTGTGGCTACAACAGATGAACAATCATGTGCTTCAGTAAATAAATCTTCTGGAACGGAATTGTATTTCTAAATTTAATTACCTTAGAAGAAGAGAGCTTTCCAAACCAGAAACATTTTTTGTGGTTCGGAATGCTTTCTCCTTCTTTGGTAATTATTGCTTCTCAACGAAAGAAACTAAAACAAGGTGTGTGGCTACAACAGATGAACAATCATGTGCTTCAGTAAATAAATCTTCTGGAACGGAATTGTATTTCTAAATTTAATTACCTTAGAAGAAGAGAGCTTTCCAAACCAGAAACATTTTTTGTGGTTCAGAATGCTTTCTCCTTCTTTGGTAATTATTGCTTCTCAACGAAAGAAAATTAGGCAAGGTGTGTGGCTAAAACAGATGAACAATCGTGTACTTCAGAAAATAAATCTCTCAGAACAAAATTAAATTTCTAAATTTAATTATCTTTGAAGAAGAGAGCTTTTCCAAACCAGAAAAATTTTTTCTTGGTTCGGAATGCTTTCTCCTTCTTTGGTAATAATTGCTTCTCAACGAAAGAAACTAAAACAAGGTGTGTGGCTAAAACAGATGAACAATTATTTACAATTCACATTATTTAATGTCATACATGACATTACGATACTTGTTGATGACTTCTGGGAGTTCATGGGTTACATTTTAGTGGAAGAAACAGAAACGGAGGTTTTTAGAGAAAGCAGTCATTGAAGAAAACAATGCGTCAAGCATTCCTGGCAGTGTTGCAAGATTGCTGAAAATTTGATCTTTATCAGCGACCTTCATGTTTTTCAGTAAATGAATCAACTAGAATGTACTTAAATTTCTATATTTAATTACCTTAGAAGAAGAGAGCTTTCCAATCCGGAACCATTTTTGTAGTTCGGAAATCTCTCTTCTTCTTTGGTAATTATTGCTTCTCAACGAAAGAAACTAAGACAAGGTGTGTAGCTAAAACAGATAAACAATCATGAACTTTAGTAAATAAATCTTCTAGAAGGAAATTAAATTTCTAAATTTAATTACCTTAGAAGAAGAGAGTTTTCCAAACCAGAAACGTTTTTTTGTTGTTCGGAATGCTTTCTCCTTCTTTGGTAATAATCGCTTCTCAACGAAAGAAACTAAGGCAGAGTGTGAGGCTAAACAGATGAACAATTATGTTCAATTTACATTATTTAATGTCATACATGTAGCGATATTTGTTAATAACTTCTGGGAGTTCGTGGGTTAAATTTTCGTGAAAGACACAGAAATGGATGTTTTTAGAGAAGTCAGTCATTGGATAAAACAACGTGTCAAGCATTCGTGGCAGTGGTGCAAGATTGGTGGAAATATGATCTTCATCAGCGACCTTCATGTATTTCAGTAAATGAATCATCTAGAACGGAATTAAATTTCTTTATTTAAATACCTTAGAAGAAGAGATATTTCCAATCCGAAACCATTTTTGTGGTTCGGAAATCTCTCTTCTTCTTTGGTAATTATTGCTTATCAACGAAAGTAACTAAGACATGGTGTGTGGCTAAAACAGATAAACAATCATGAACTTTAGTAAATAAATCTTCTAGAAGGAAATTAAATTTCTAAATTTAATTACCTTAGGAGAAGAGAGCTTTCTAAACCAGAAACGTTTTTTTGTTGTTCGGAATGCTTTCTCCTTCTTTGGTAATTATTGCTTCTCAACGAAGGAAACTAAGACAAAATATGAGAGCTTTTCAATCCAGAACCATTTTTGTGGTTCGGAAATCTCTCTTCTTCTTTGGTAATTATTGCTTCTCAACGAAAGAAAATTAGACAAAGTGTGTGGCTGAAACAGATAAACAGTTATGCACTTCAGTAGATAAATCTCCTTGAACGGAATTAAATTCCTGTATTTAATTGCCCTAGAAGAAGAGAGCTTTCCAAACCAGAAACAGTTCTTTATAGTTCGGAAAACTCTCTCCTTCTTTGGTAATTTTGCTTCTCAAACGAAGGAAACTAAGAGAAGGTGTGTGGCCAAAACAGATAAACAATCATGTACTTCAGTAAATAAATCTCCTAGAACGAAATTAAATTTCTATATTTAATTACCTTAGAAGAAGAGAGCTCTCCAAACCAGAAACACGAACGTGTTTGTGATATAAATTTGTCCAAATGCGATCGATTGAAAAGCTAAAAATGGCTTAGTACACACCTGTTGTTGCTCGGATGCTCCACGACTTTTATCAATGTCTTTTTTAAAAAAATAAGGGCACAATGAGAATCAAACGTTGCCACACATCAACCCGTTAAGTGCACCGAACACATGACCAACTGGTCTGTCTACAGATCTTTTTTCCTCTTTGATCATGCTGTAATTTCCGGAGCGCTCCCGAAATAAGATGTACGGTGATTTAACGAACACAAAAGCAAGGCATTGCAGCCCGAGAGCGAAGCTCGAGGAAAGCTAAGAGCTTTGAGGAACAGATAATGTCCAAGGACAAATGTAGGAGCGTACTTTCGGGTAAAATGGAGGCTATTTTGTGAGTTTCCGGTTCCGCTCTTAGGTAGCTGTAGTTTGATTGCACCTTTAGGTATATCAAGTATTCATTGCTTCATAATGGCACCGAAACGACTAATTATTGCTTTATTTTCTGTCGATTTAACTACTGCGTTTAAAGCCTTTACTTATAGATGGGTCAAAAGAATAAAGGAAATGATCACCAACTTAAGACGCTGGTGATTGTTAAGCAAGTTCTTCTTGTCAGCACCAAAGGCAATATATAGAAAAGAGTTTGGGGAATACAGATACTGATGTTTGGGAGTAAAAGAGTCAACTAGGAAGGTCATTTTAGTTTTCTAAAACAGCATTCGAGAGAAACACGTCTGATTTATTTCGGGACGTGATCAACATGCCACGGCTTTGTTTCACAGGAACGGAAAATGAACTTACATCGGTTTGATTCGATACCCGTTCAACCAGTTCCTGTTAAGTGAAGTAATTTTGAGCACGTTTCGGAAGTATGAGCTATAGAACTGACGGCAGAGAGAGTTTTACTTAAAGCTAGAAACTGAATTATGTTCAAGGTCGAGGTTTTCTTGCTTCTTTGCCATAGCGCTTTCTCGATAAATTTGGGCGAGACCCCAGCCAGGTTAAAAAAAACGAAATCTTTTAATTATCACAGCTCCCTCTTTTTGTTGAATTCCAAGCTTGGATGTGTCAGTTTGGTCTCGGCTGGGTTAGGTCAACCAGTTAAGGCTGTGCAACACTAAGGAACCGGTATTAGTTGCTTTGAGGAACGATATTTGTTACTAGAATTCATTATGAAAATACGATTTCGTAAAATATTACGGCGAGAAAATTTGAGATACTCGGCCTCTCGAATTTTTCTAACACTTTTATTGAGTTGTTTGATAACCACATTTATTGCTTGCTTCCAACGAGTAACAACATTGATAGTAAAAAAAGGGAAAATTGGGAAACACAGGACTTCCAACAGGTGTACTGATTTAAACTTATTTACCAGAAATCAGTTTTTGAAATTGAAAATTAGAAGTTTAAAAGATGTAAATCACGCCATTACTTCTATTTATTATTAAAAGGCGGAAAATCATACACGGCTATAACAACATCAGTCAGCAGTAGAAATCACGTTCCAAGCAGGCTGAGGTAAAACCAGATTTACCCACTATTTTACCGCCACAGCACATTCGGACTCTTTTGTTGTAGGTTTGAGATCCACAACAGGCCAGCGGGGCTAGAGCCGATGTACCAACTACTTTACCATCACAACACAATTGTGTTCTTGAGTTGTAGGATTTGGAACCACAGCAGGCTGAGGTAAAACCAGATTTACCGACTATTTTACCACCACAGCACATTCGGAATCTTTTGTTGTAGGTTTGAGATCCACAACAGGCCAGTGGGGCTGGAACTGATCTACTAACTACTTTACCATCACAACACAATTGTCTTCTTGTGTCGTAGGATTTGGAACCACAGCAGGCAGCTGAGGTTAAGCCAGATTTACCGACTATTTTACCGGCACAGCACATTTTGCTTCGCGTGTTGTATGACTGTAGACCACAGCAGGCTGAGGTAAAACCAGATTTACCGACTATTTTATTGCCACAGCACATTCGGAATTTTTTGTCGTAGGTTTGAGATCCACAACAAGCCAAGGCTGGAACCGATCTACCAACTACTTTACCATCACAACACAATTGTGTTCTTGAGTTGTAGGATTTGGAACCACAGCAGGCTGAGGTAAAGCCAGATTTATCGACTACTTTACCGGCGCAGCACATTCGGACTCTTTTGTCGTAGGGTTGGGAACTGCAACAGGCTGAGCCTGATTTTCTGACAATTTTATCACCGCAACACCTGCCATACCTTGTGTTGTAAGCTTTGGCTCCACAGCACGAGGAAGTAAAACCCGAAATTCGTATTACTCGATCAGCGCAGCAAATGGAAGATGTGGGATTGTACGATACTTCACCACAACTTCGATATGTCATACGCCGTGCTCGTACTCCTACGGTGTTGTAATCTATTAAAAAAAAAAAAGACGGTCAACACAGTCCGTAGAATGTGTAGAGACTATGATTTCTGTGTGTAAACTATGCAGTTCAATCCAAACCCAATCAAGATTTCATTGATCAGTTAGAGAGGAAAGACCTTATAAATTTCTTTATTAACTCCCATGAGTGACCAAGACAGAATTTCTCCTTACAATATCAGTACAATGTCAATCAGACGAGTGATAATGATGAGGAAAATATCAATTGGGGGATTATAAGTTGATCCAATACCAAATTCTCCAAATTAACAACACAAGAACTGTATGGCAGACAGTAAGGAGAATTACTAATGAGATCTTGGGAGTTAAAGGGTTACATGCACCCAGGATCATTAGCAATTTTTGCGACAACGCGCTTTCACCCGATCAGGTTATTAAGGTTTAAATATTTTTGGCCCAGTTCAGAGGTCGTGCATCCACTGTGTCGAATTCAATTCAAAAACAAAAGCGCGGCAGAGCAAAGCGTCTGAATAATACCTTTTAATTAAGTTCGGGAAGCCGTACTACACGAGACTATTACTTTGGCGCGACAGCGCTTCAAATGTCGCGCCTCCACCGAGCCAAACAAATCTCATAAATTCTGCTAATGTATTTGGCGGGATTGCGTTCTCGCGGGAAGTTACGAGAATGAATTGTTTTGTCCAGTTCAGATGTCGTGCCCCCGCCGTGTCAAACTCAATTCAGAAATTAATTTCGACGAAAGCACATACAGCAAAAGCTCAGCGTCTGATAGAACTTTTTAATGAAGTTCAAGCATTTAATTTCGACAAGCTCCTTCGCGCTATGCGACTCTGGCGCTACAGCGACACGCTACTTCGCACCTCCGCTGAGCCTAAGAAAATCCATACATTATGCAAACGTATTTTGGCGGGACTGCGTTCTTACGGGTAGTTACAACAATGAATTGTTATTAGTATGCTGAGGCGAAACATTAGAATTTGCAGTGCTACGGTGATGACCATATATTTGATGCAGTTATCTCTGGTCGGTGTATAAAACCCTGCAACGTGTTATGACATTGATCTTAAATTGCGCGGTGTATGTTGTTTGCGCAGTTTAAAGGGAGCATAAATTATTTGTGTTGTTGTGGTTTCTTGCTCAAAGATCCCTCGTACATTCTATTGATGACTGTTGTCGTCTTCATCAGAACTACCTAATTTTACTTGTCCTGGCCATAAAAAAATTCCATAATGTGCCAAAGAGGTTGCAAATTTGCCAACAAAACATGCGTAAGCAGGAACTCCTTGGCACATAACATGCAAGTAAGTAGTATGGCTTTGTATTCAGTCAGGTGTGTATAACATGCATGTATGTAAAACTTATTGCCACGTTGATGTTTCGTTAACTTTTCGCGGGTTGGTACGGTGCTCTTTGCTTCTTAATGTCCCCTTCCTTTTGGAGGGTAATTCAGCAGAGCTTTGCTTTCTTCAGCCATCCTTAAAGGTTCCTCTTGAACTAACCTTACCCGTTAAGCCAAGACGAATTTCAAATGGAAAAACGGTTGTTAATCTCACTCTAGCGATTGAGTATGAGGAGTACTAATTAGCGGGTAAACTTGGTAAGTAAACCACTAGGTTAATGAGTTACTAGCAGAATTTACCTTTGCTAACTTTCTCGTAAGTCTGTTGGTCTTCAGTTACTTTTCTGGAAGTCGCAGTTACTTTGTCAGCCTTGAATTTCAGAGGCTCCCCTTGAATTTCTCTTTCTTCAGCTGGGGTCTCGCCCAATTCCAACGAGAGAGCATTTTCGGAAAGAAGGAGGAATACCACGAACTTGAATATCGTGTAGTTCTTAGCCTTAGAGCTCACTCTGCCGTCAGCTCTTCACCTGAAGATAAGTCGTTCCCTCCTTTTATACGAACAGGAGTACATGGAACCACCCAAAATCACAAGGACACTTAGCGCATCACGTTCTTATTTACATTTGGGTGTCACTGTAGCGAAGTACTTATTCCATCGGAAATAAAAGCCGCCCATTTGTAGTGGACGCCCACTGGTAGGATGTAATACTGCCTTCTTGCCTGAGGCTATCACTTGCGTGTCACTAGCTGATGTATAGTTCATGAGCAACGATGCAGAATTAAAATATCAAGAAATTTAACGACCACCAAGGTCATTCATGGTGAAATCTTACATATTTCAATGGTCTACGTTTTGAGTTCATTATACCTCGAGCAAAAAACGCTCGCAGAGACAGGCTAAAAATACATCAATCATTTCCGTTTAGTCACGAACTTTTTCGCGTCGCTTCGGCCAGAGTCCCTAGGCGTTACAAAGAACAAAAGAACTATTGTTTGATACGTAATGTGAGAAGTTAGGCCGGAACAATAGACCATTTCTTACATCAGACATGGTTTGATGCTACTCTGGTTTACAGATTTAATGAATGTAACCGAAGTGTTTCAATTAATAGACCCAACGCTTCGACACTCCTGTCTAGTGCCTTCATCAGGGGTGATCTAAACGCTGCAACAAAAGGTCGTTTTATATGATCACTAATTAGCTGTCTGTTTTCTGACGAGGTGTAAATAGGCGTCAGGAAGTAGGCCGCCATCGTCACGATTTAAAGCAGCGTAGGCGGAGTTAATATACCAAACTTCCAAACAAAGGCGCTGGCGGTAACGCCGATTAGTGGTGATAATTTTAGAATTAT